ACATTCATGGTATATTAGTAAAATAAAAATTGATGAACATTAATATGTTCCATGGTAAATTAGTATAATGACAAACATCTAGGGACATTTTTATGTTCACAGTAAATTAAAAATATCTAGGGACATTATTACATTCCATAGTAAATTAGCAAAATAACATCCAGGGACATTACTAAGTGCCATGACGAGCTGGTTAAAATAAGTACTGATGGTTTTATGTTTCATTTGTTAAAAAAATAAACAGAAAAAGGAGTATTTCAAATACATAAAAAAACAATTGTAGCTGACTTCAGAACATTTTTAATTTAATGAAGCCAGCAAAAATAAACTGAACTATCACTCCCGGGTAACAAAACTCACAAAGGTTAATTTAACACACACACAAAAACATAAACCTTTCAGCACAATTTACGTTTACAACAACAAATAATTATTACGACTTTAGTGGAACAACAAGCGGCAAAGTCTACGTCATTTCAAGACTTACTGACTTCCTATAATAGGCCCTCCTCCAACACTAGTATAGTCATATCCATAAAAGTTTAGACCAAGTAATATCTTCTTACGGTCAGCACTATTTTTATTGGGCACCAGATGCTCCACACACTTCTTCATCCATGGAACAGGGCTGTTGGGCCCTGGTCTAAGAAAAGTCCATTATAAGATAATTAACTAGAGTCCAGAAAATTGACTAGTTTTGACTTAATTCATGTTAAGATAATATAATTAAACTTCATAATGATGAACCATTTCTCATTTAAATGGTAATTCCCCTTAGAAATATAAAACCATCAGGTCAGTACCAAGACAAGTTCATTAAATGATCTGGTCAGTAACAAATCACTATCAATAAGTCACAAAGTCATTAAATCATCTAGTGGCAGTGGTGTAAATATACCCCCCCCCCAAAACTGCAAGGGTCCTGAAGGGCTTGGCAAACTTAAGAATTGCCAACACGGGGAGAGACATACGATTTAGTTTGAATTAATAGGCAGTCACACTACTCTGTTAAGTCAGTCGCACTACTCTGTTAAGTCAGTCACAATACTCTGTTAAGTCAGTCGCACTACTCTGTTAAGTCAGTCGCACTACTCTGTTAAGTCAGTCGCACTATTCTGTTAAGTCAGGCGCACTACTCTGTTAAGTCAGTCGCACTACTCTGTTCAGTCAGTCGCACTACTCTGTTCAGTCAGTCGCACTACTCTGTTAAGTCAGTCACAATACTCTGTTAAGTCAGTTGCACTACTCTGTTAAGTCAGGCCCACTACTCTGTTAAGTCAGGCCCACTACTCTGTTAAGTCAGTTGCACTACTCTGTTAAGTCAGGCCCACTACTCTGTTAAGTCAGTCGCACTACTCTGTTAAGTCAGTCGCACTACTCTGTTAAGTCAGTCGCACTACTCTGTTAAGTCAGTCGCACTACTCTGTTAAGTCAGTCACAATACTCTGTTAAGTCTGTGATGCTGATCAGTCTGAATTGTAATTACAGTTATCGGGAAATAAATGTAGGGGGCTCAATTAATTTTTATGCAGGGGGGGGGATCTACTGTAGTTACACCACTGTTTGTTGGATAGTAAATCAAATTCACTAAATCACCTGGTCAGTAGCAAATCACTTTCACTAAATCATCTGGACGGTATGGAATGAAAGTCATTAACTCACCTGGACAGCATCAAGTCAAATTAATTAATTATCTTTTCAGAAGCAAATGAAATTTACTAAATCATCTGATCAGTAGCAAGTAACATTCAACAAATCATTTGGTGAGTAACAAGTCAAGTTTTTTGTGACAATGTACCTACGGCACAAATTTTGTTGAGAATATTAAACATGAAAAAAAACTTCTCCAAACAATTGACTTCATTTTAGATATTTATCATGTGATAAAAAATAATTCTCCTTCTTACCTTTCAGGATTAGAATAATCATAAGTCATTAGGCTGAAGGCTGTCACAAACGGGGCTAGTCGAACAAAATCTTCGTGAGTAAACATGCCAGGTTTGTTTCTGAAATATAAATAAAAAAAACAGAGATATGACTTGTAAAATCCCTTCCTCCTAGGGTTGCCAACTGTCCTACTTAGAGATAAAATGTGCTTATGTTTTACTAGCAACTGTTGTCGAAGAATTTGTTTACTTTGGTTAGAGGCCACCCATGTGAATAAGTATGACAAGTGGCCTAAATCGTGTGACAGACTTTATGGATGTTCCCTTACAAAAAAGCTCTACTTCAAAATTCTCAGGAGTTGGCAACCCTGCTTCCTGCACTATCCTACTTTGAAAAAATCAAACTGACTGGTCTTTGGTTTGTAAATAAACAAATACAGTGATCCAGTCCACTGGATCACTTAGAATGATACAGCTGTAGAATTCTGTTTTAATATAGTGATCCAGTCTATACATAATGATACAGCTGTAGAATTCTGTTTTAATACAGTTGATCCAGTCTACTGTCCATACAGAATGATACAGCTGTAGAATTCTGTTTTAATACAGTGATCCAGTCTACTGTCCATACAGAATGATACAGCTGTATAATTCTGTTTTAATACAGTGATCCAATCTACTGTCCATACAGAAAGGTACAGCTGTAGAATTCTGTTTTAATACAGTGATCCAATCTACTGTCCATACAAAATGATACAGCTGTAGAATTCTGTTTTAATACAGTGATCCAATCTACTGTCCATACAGAATGATACAGCTGTAGAATTCTGTTTTAATACAATGATCCAGTGTACTGTCTGTACAGAATGATACAGCTGTATAATTCTGTTTTAATACAGTGATCCAATCTACTGTCTGTACATAATGATACAGCTGTATAATTCTGTTTTAATACAGTGATCCAATCTACTGTCTATATAGAATGATACAGCTGTAGAATTCTGTTTTAATAAAGTGATCCAGTTGTGTAAAAGGGTTAATTATTTAAGAACGTTTTCTGTAATCTTAACTAACCCAACCTTACCTGTGATATAGTGGTGGAGGGATAACAAGTATGAAATCCATGAAGTTATTTCTCATTGTGGTTCCAAAAAATTCCAAGAAACTTGACAGCTCTCTTCATAGAAAGAAATAATTAATTTTTAACATTTGTATTAACACTGACTTTAGTATTATCATTAAAAGTGAAATTCCTGTTAAGATGTACTTTTCCATCAACATGTGAAATTATTAATAATGGCTGGAGACGGCTTGAATGGGTAATGAAGAAAAACTTTAATATAACAGCAAATGTACAACGTTTCGACAAGGTTTTGACCTGATGATGACAAAACCTTG